TATGTCTTTCGATGGATGGCCGAGTTCATTTCGGCTGGTCGGAGTCCAGATCAACGAGGACTTGATCTGGCACGAACACATCTCGTCAATAGCGTCAGCTGCTAGGACAAAACTCGGCTATCTTCTTTTCTCCACATGACCCTCTCACTCTATACAAAGCCTGAAAAGACCCAGGCTCAAGTATTGCTCACATAATAATAACAAACCATCTTTTATTAAAAACAAATTACAGATAGTACATACAGGGTGTCCGCAAAGTTGGGGTTTTCCTTTTCAGAAACAACTACCCTTGAAATAACAAAGGTAATGTGTAGTGAAACGAGGGCGACCAAGTAAAAAAAAATAAAGGAAAAAGTACTCACTCTCCAGTTGACGAGAAGGGCTAAGTACGTCTCTGCCCGAAATCATACCGCTCCAACAGAAAATGAAATCAGCTGATGCGCTACCGAGCAGACGCAGGCAAACAAGGAAGGCAAAATGTTGCGTAAAAACTCTAGGTATTGCATCCCATCCAATCGGTTTGGGAGAATAAATGGTCCAATGAGCATACCGTTCACCATGCCAGCCCAAACATTCACCGAAAATGTTTGTTGAAAATGTGCCCGACGGACAGCGTGCGGATTTTCTACTGACCAAACATGAGTGTTGCGAAAGTTATTCACCTCATTACGCGTGAACGTAGATTCGTCTGTCACCAATATGCACTTCAAAAAGTCCGGATTATTGTCATGTTGATGCAACAACCACTCACAAAACCGCACTCTTGCTGGAAAATCGTCAGGTTGGAGGGCTTGTACACGTTGGACGTGAAACGGATACAGCCCCTCTTCACGCAGCGTTTGCCACACTTTAGTTTTTGATACTTGCACTTCTCTAGCCGCGTCTCTAGTGCTTGTTGAGGGATTCTCGTCTACGCGCGTGACCGTAACCGTCGGTTGAAGGTTGCATACTGACCTGACACACTGATCCCGACCCAGTTCTGTCGTCGGGTTGAGCTAGTGTCCTAGTACCACTGGGGGATGTCGCGGCTACAGGACGGTATTCAGATATTTTTGATGTTGCAGAGCCCTTTATCTCGGTTCCCTTCTGACATTGGTGTATATGGTACTAAGAAAAATTGCTTATGTTTTCAAGATCTACACGTCGTGTAAAGGAAAACCCCAACTTTGCGGACACCCTGTATATTACCTATAATAAAATTAGTGAACAGCTTAGTGGCGAAATTTAGCTATAACAGCTATAATTACAACATCTAAACAATAATTACAGGGTGTTTCAGAACTAAGGGATCAAACTTTTAGGGGTTATTCAGTGTAACAGTAGGAACCATTTAAGTATAGGCTCCCATATCTGGAAAAGTGTCACTACGGCACTACGGCCCTAAGACGCGTTAAAATTTGCCTAAATAAGATTTAATGCATATGATTTTTGCCTTTAGTACATGATATCAACACAACTATTGTTCAAAATTTCTTCTTCCAACCGATTTAAACGTCGCACATGATTTCGGGGGACTTGACTAAAAATTTGATACTGGTTTTGAATGATTTCAAATGTTGCTGTAATTCGTCCAATTAAGTCTTGCTCTGTTTGTACTGGAGTTTCGTAAACCAAAGACTTTACATGTCCCCACAGGAAAAAATCTAGCGACGTTAAATCGGGTGACCTAGGAGGCCAAGAAACTGCTCCACCTCTGGAAATCCAACGGTGCAAAACCGCTGAGCCAAATACCCACGTACTTGTACAGTAAAGTGACCCGGCGCTCCATCATGCTTCAACCACATTTGCGGTCGGACGTTCAATGGAACATTTCCAAGAAGTTCTGGAAGAACTTCCTCCAAGAAACGCCGGTAAATAGGAAATGTTAACCGTTCCAGTAGAAGGTATGGCCCAATCAAATAATCATCAGCAATGACTGCCCATACGTTGACAGACCAACGTTGCTGATGTTTTCTAGGAAAAATTGCATGTTGAAATTTGATTGTGCAGCGATTTGATGAAGAAGCCATTGATAAAATTGAACTCTTGGATGATAATCGCCTGCAGTCAATCCTTGAACTTTCTGGAAGTGGTTAAGGATAAAGTTGTTGCTCGTGTAGCACCCGCCAGACGGAAGCGTTACTCGTATTCATATCCTCAGCAATGTGACGTGTGCTACTTGATGGTTCGTCGGCAACTCGCTGAAGGACCTCTTCTTCAAATTCGACCGTTCTTACGGTTCGAGCAACACCAGTATCATGCATGTTGGTTTTGAACATGCCTGTCCCGGAGAGCCGCCGATGAATAGCAATAAACTTTTTGTATCCTGGATGCTGTCGTTCGGGATAACGTTTTTGATACAACCGCGCTGCTGCTCGTGCATTGCAGCTTGTTGCTCCGTAGGCAAAATGCATATCTGAAAATTCTCGATTGGTAAGCAACAATTAATTTTTTTAAGTTCTTGCAAACTTCACAAATATGATAGCATGACTAAGGCAATATGGAATGCAGCTACAAAAACAATATCTGTTATCGTTTTTAAAGATAATAACACACAAGCGCCGGATCTAGGTCCCTATACTCAAATGTTTTCTACTGTTACACTGAATAATTTCTACAAGTTTGATCCCATAGTTCTGAAACACCTTGTAGAATAAGCTAGATCGCCGTAATTAAAAATTGCTAGGGCAAAAGATTCACACAATTTTTTTGCACTTAAAAAGTTATTCAAAGGTTTACGAAGCCGCACATTTTCATCAGCACTTGACACTTTCATAAAATGGAAGATTCTGATTGAGCTTTGACTTCATCTTTCCTGTAGTTTGGACAAAACAGCATGGCAGAAGATTTAGACGCATTAATGGTCAGGTTGTTATTGGCTGAGTAGGTGCAAATAGAGTCGATGTCCTCGTTAATTTCCATAGTTGCATTCTGGAAATCCTCGAGGTAAAAGAAGTAAAACAGTTGAGTGTCACCCGGATTTGACTGTAGCTGTGAATTTTGAATGGACTTAGCAATATCAGCTACATAAATTAAAAATAACAAAGCGCATAAAATTGAGCCCTGAGGCACACTAGAAGTAATAAAGCGCTCATTTGACAAAGCTGCGAGACTGACACTCGTTGAGACCGGCAGGTTAGGTATGATCTGAAAAACTGCACCGATATTTTGTCAAAACCATAAAATTTCAGCTTGGCACATATTAGTATATGATCAATTATATCAAAGGCCTCCGAGAAATCCGCGACAAACATTTATTTATCAAGGGCTTTGATTGTCCGCCAAATTAAAAAGAGCAGTTGAAGTACTGACTGATGTATTGGGAGAATCTCACTCGATTCCAAAAAATCTGAGATTTGCAAATAAACGATTTTCTCCAAGATCTTTGACAAAACGCTCAACAGACTGATAGGCCTAAGATTTGAGAAATCGGCAGGGTTCCTGACCTCAGTTATTGCCCTTGACTCGTGAAATTAGAGAGAAATTCCGGCCACCATAAGGAGCTAGTGCATAGGCCGCTTAAACGGCCCTTATGCACCTCTACATTCCTTAGATCACAAGCCTTGCCCTTTTAGCGAAGTTGAGAATCGCCTTGAGTCCAAGCTCCTTGATGTCCTGAGGGTCCAAAGTGATGGACCCCAGTATAGTCTGCCTATACAGCGACACAAAAAAATCAAATGTTGTTTCGTCTGACTGAGCAGAATGAAACACTGGTGCAGAATAGTCGTTTATAGCTTTTGGGTCATTGAGTTGAAACGGAATACTTTCAGTTCTTGTCTTAGACCTAGACCAGATTCATCGATATTCATGTTACCTAAAGCCCTCCAAAGTTCTTTCGACATATGATACTCTTGCAAGAAAGACAGGTACTCATATCCTGTTTTTTCGCGCCTAATTGACGCAAGAGCAAAATTACTTTTTTCTTTGTAGCTTAACCAGTTTGGTCTTATCGGATTTATATTTTCTACATATATTTTCGCATTGGCGGGCCATCGGCGCTCTAGCTCTCTTCTACCGCTACACCAATGGGCTCTGTTCCTCAGAGCCCTCCTCCATGATGTCGCCGCGCGATGTGCCTGCCAGATAGATCCGCCTGACTTCGGTCTTCCATCCCAACCGTGTCGAACTTCGTACTTCTAGAACAGGCCGATACGACTGCTCCTTTGTCCTTAAGGTGTCGAGATTGTGGAACCATGTACAAGACGAGGATTTTCCCAGTTCTACTAACCTTAGGTAGTTCAAAAATCGTGTTAACGAGGTTTCTTTGGGATCCTCATGATGCCCTGGCATTTAGGCGCCTGCCTGCGCGGCTGCTTCGGTATAAGAGAATACCGGATCATAGCGAGAGCTTGGAAACCATGCATTTTTTTTTTGTAAAAAAGCTTTCTACAGTAGTTTAAGGAGATCAGAAACGTTCAATATGACCTCAGAGGTCATTTGAAGGTCAATTTCGCAAATTTAAACAGCAAACCAGTACATTCTTGATCAATTCTGAATAGGAAGCAATTCGTATATGATGTCAGGTGGTCATAAGTAGCTAAAGCTGTAACGTCTCAAAAGTAGATGATTGCCCTAAAAACGTGAAAGACGCACGTTTTAAAAAAATATTTTGTCTGTGCTTGACTGCTCTCAGCGTTGCCAGATGGATTAAAAAGAATTTCTCCAGAACAAGCATAAACATCCACAGATTTGCAACATTCTTAAGAAAAATAAATAAATATCCCCCAAAAATTCTCCAATTGACGTAAGAATCCTCCAAATTTGGGGGAAGATTCCCCAATATGGCAACCCTGGCCGCTCACCGCTCACCGCTGCTACTGACTTACGGCATGGCTGACTGGTGTGGTTCAGGGACGTTGCGAGATGGTCGATGCTGTCGTTAGGACAGGGAAGAAGTTTCTAGATCGTATCGTAATCTCTGATATTTTTCTAAGTACGAAAAGTCTTGTTTAGAGAAATTTAGAGAAATAAAAATACTGTCATACAAGTAACTATAAATTAATTTATTTGGATACAACTATATTACTTAAAATTAAAAAGTATGTACAACGATGAAAACTTAATTAAGATACCCAACAGCAGTGTTGCCGAACCGAAAAGGAAGAAATCGGTAGACAGTGTCGTTGATTGTCGAAATTGGTAGAAGGAAAAAATCAGTGCCGTCACAAGATCAGGGATGGATCAAGGGACTTTCCGTCACACAGTGCCGTCTATGAAAGAAGTATATTTTTGAATTACGCGCATACACATAAAACAGGTTTTTTGAGGGCATCTTTTCTTTATTACAACTTGTACATTGAACATACTGGTCGCTGTTCAAACTCCTTGGCAACCATGATTGAAACTCCTTGGCAACCATGATTGAAACTCCTTTTGCCATTCTCGTTTATACGATTCTGAATATGTTTCTGTTTCATTCCAGAACTTGAAGCCTTATCACCTGACATTCTAATTTAATTATCAGTTAAACACAGACGAGCTTTGGCAACACCCTCTAATAGTCCAGATTCGGCAATTACACGTGGATGAAGCAAGATTTATATATGGGTACAATACCTGTTGAAGAATCTATGTAGTCAAATTAAAGGTATTTCAAATGGTCGTCGATATGTGACAAGAGTCCATAAGAAAATCACAGTTCAAATCTGCACATCTGCAGGATTAAATTTTGATTGAGTTGGAATTTAAACCAAGGTTCCCAGATCTGTGCTTAAAACAATATTATAGCTACGCTTTTCCTGCTGTTATCTCCGTCAAAGTACTGACCACAAGACAATTAAACTTAACGAATAAAAACATGAAAGTTGACACAGCAGAGAGAGCTAAGAACTCAAAGTATTGTAACATACTAGCTTAGCTAAACGTATGTACCTGCGTATTTCAGCAAAATTTGCTTGATATGTTTTTGAATTTATCACCTATCGCTCCTTAAAAATATTCTACAAATCACCGTTTGTAAAAGGAGAGTAAAACCTTATTGATTTTAGAACATTAGGAGACAATCCATTCTGCTTTCTCAGCTCTTGGTTTGCAAGAAGAGCTCTTTGATGGGGTATATCTCCAAAAAATAGCTCTTTGCTGTAGAGGAAGTCTGCCATCCTCTTTGCTTCAGGTCCTGTCCTTAGGTATGGATCCGGATAATCTACGAAATGTATTAATCAGTTGCCAGAAAAATTAAAAGTTATAGAAATAAGACAGCAGAAGGTGCCATCTATTAGTCTTTTACAACTGTATCCGGCACGGGTATCACGTATCTTGAAAAGTGACATTATACCGATTTTTTTTGACATTCTATAGGTTTTACTACAAGATATTAACTTAGCACTTAGTTTTACGTGTTGCCTAAACGTCATGAGGCTTGTTATCAATCCTTGGCTCTGATGTGATGTAAAATCTGCTTCTGAGATGGCATTACTGGAGGTCTAAGCTGTAAGTTATATATGTTGATGATAATTATATACATTGAGTTCTTGTCTCAAATACACTTAATTAAGATTAAAGCTAGAAATTAGTTGCGCATCCACTTTTTCTTATCCATTCTGGAAATTACATATACAAATTTACTAAATTTTAAAAATGAGAGAGATAAGAAATAATTATATTCACTGTACACTGTCGAATTACAAGCCATATACATGCTAACAGTAATTACACACAACGCGGGCGCGGTGAGGATTTCCCGTAATTCTCATCAGTTTTTCGTAATTTATAACTTTGAACATAACCTCTCTTCAGAAAGCACAACATAAAAATAACCAGTCGGGTACAGTCAATAGATATACTTAATTGACAGCATATTCATTATTTTCTCACACAGCAAATATCACTGATTTTATACACATGCAGACCAATACACATAATCATCCAGATGCGATCTTGCTATTCAACCAACTTTCTTCTCAGAAATAAAAACTACAGACAAGGACCATTTGGTCCCACAAAACATAGGCAACCAATGATGCGTGTAGTTTAGTTGAGCGATTCCTCCTTAGATGGATGTTCACAGCGATCCTAGTGAGCAGTCGTGGAATGACTGTTTGCGCCTCAAAAACTACCTAGTTTGCAAGATGACATCTTATAGGTTTTTTTGACATTTTATAGGTTTATTATATGATACCCGTGCCGGTGTCTCGGCGACTTGGGATGATTTTGGTAACTGTAACATTCTCCATAGGTTTTTCATATTCTGGAGCATTTTAAGGCGTGTCATCAATGAACATATTCTACATTTTGCTTCCTACGCAGCTGGCGTGGAAGTGTTGTAATCGCGAGAAATTTCGAAAATGAGACATGTTTTTTGGGCATGATGTGTACGTCACGAAAAACCATGTCACTTATCTCCGTCAGTTTGCACTCGTATGTCTGTCCTTCTGTTCCTTGACACACAATCTAATATGGCGACTATAAGAAAAAATAAGCTGGAGGACAAGAGACGAAACGTCATATTGAAATTCTAATTATGCCTTCTTGTAGAGGAGAAAAAGTGGCAAAGTTATTATGCAATTTATTTTGAAATCCCACTACAAATAAAGTCAGGAAAAAATCAAAATGATTTTGGAAACATTCTTTGAATTTAATTTTATTTAATTTGAAACTTGCTGAGCGGCAAATACGCTTTCCCGCATTAAGCGACTTCGTCTCTTTCACAGTTTCCGAGATCCCAATGGCGTGGATCGAATTTGAAACATCCTGTATATTATGTCAAGGTTGAAAAATATTTATGGTTTTTGATAATGATCTAGTGGCGGCGGAACAAAAAAAAGTAAATATATAAACATAGCTCAAACTTCGTTAGCATATTTTCTTGTATTGTACAGAAAAACATGCTGAATATGCAAAATATAATTGTATGAACCTTTTTCTTTTATATCGAAGCAGCCGCGCAGACAGAAGCCTAAATGCCGGCTATGATGATCTCAAAGAAATTTTGTTAATACGATTTTTGAACTGCCTAAGGTTAGTAGAACTGGGAAAAGCTTCCTCTTATAGATTGTTCCACAGTCTCGACACCCTCGGGACAAAGGTGCGGTCGTATCGCCCAGTTCTGGATGTACGAAGCTCGACACGGTTAGAATGGGAGGCCAAAGTCAGGCGGGTCTGACGGGCAGGCTCATCGCGCGACGACATCATGAAAGAGAGCTCCGAGGAGCAAAGCCCGTTGGTGTAGCGGTAGAAAAGAGATAGATGCAGTGCGAAAGAATTCCGAGACTGTCTGTTAGAGAAGAGTCATCGATCAGTCGGACTGCCCTCTTCTGGACAGCATCGAGCATGGATAATGTAGTCGGGGCGGCAGCACCTCAAACTTGTGAGCAATACTCGAGGCTAGGCCTTATCTGGGTCTTGTATAGAGTGAGAAGGTCATGCGGAGAAAAGTACTTCTTAGCCCTAAACAAATAGCCTAGCTTTTTCCCAGCAGCTGCAGCTATTGACGAGATGTGTTCGTGCCAGATCGGGTCCTCAGTGATCTGGACGCCGACCAGCCGAAATGAATGGCTCTTTGGTAGAACTCGACCGTCCATCGAAACTGTATGAGCGCTAGGGCGCTTTTTGTTCGTCCAAGTACAGTACTGTGCTTTGGAATCATTGAACTGTACAAGATAGTTGCGTCCCCAAGCAGTGATAGCTCCAGATCTCTTTTACTAGTTTAATCCATTTATTTTTTGTTATACATATCATGACGTAGGAGGTGAATATCAACCTACTTTACGATATTTTTTTGAGTTGAACTGATGTGGATTTGATAGAGGTGACTTTACTTAATACCAAAACAATGAATAACCAAATGTGATAACAGTCTCATTCGGGTTTTCAAAAGAATTTTCCTAGAACCCCAGGGTTATTACGTTAAAAAAACCTATATAATGTCATATAAAATCGGTAAAATGTCAACTTGTGCACTAGGAAGGTGTTAATGTACCGCTAGTTCACTTCGCACCTACTACAAGTGAGCATGAAGTGAATGTGTTAAAATTGACATTTAATAGGAAAAGCTAAATGTGTCAAAATCGATATAATGTCAATATTTAAGTTACGTAATATATATATATATATATATATATATATATAGGTGAAAAATTAAAGCTTCCGCCTTTTTTTGGGTACTTCGACAAAATTTAAGCAAAGAGGACTCTTTATACTTTTTTAATTCTCTCTAGCTTTCAATGGACTTTGCCATCATCATCAGGAGCTGCAATTACAATGATAACAGTAGCAACAAAAGTGGAAAATGAATTTAAATTGACTCAACTTACAGTAGTATGTGAGGATGTTGCTAATTGTTGTTTACGTATAGGATGAGGGAAACGTCCAGTAACATGGTGAAAGCTGGATACATGGTACAATGGTCAAAATTATATAAAATATGACAAGAACAAGTTAAAAACAGATTAAAAATTATTTAAAAACATTAGAGCATTACATCGTGAAGCCACTTGATGATTGCACAAAATGGTGGTCATGAAATAATGAGTGAGATGAACCCTTTGACAGAAGGCCGAAGGTTGTCAATGTCTGTGTTGAAAGATGGAACGAATTGTGAGCGTGTGCCAAAACGTTGCCCTGATAAAGAAAAACACCTTTCTGAACGTTTATTCCTGGAAATGTCCCACATTTTCATGAATAGCAACTGTATCAACAAAAAGACAGATGTTAAACAACTGAGTGTCATTTACTCATATTTGCTAAACTGCGAAAAATTGGAGAACTTACATATCTCCCCAAATTTCGACTCTTCACAACCATAAATAGAATCTGTGTTTTGGCCGATTCCACCAGTAAATTTCATTCCACTCAAAATCTAATAATTCTCTTCTCACGATTTATTAATAATTGTTAATTTAAATTCCCATTAATTAAAATATAGTTTATTCAACTGCCTTTGGTCGGTTTAACAATTTCTTACATAACATTCTGAAAATCACATCATCTGAAGTGATTTGGCAACGTTTTGGCACACGCCCACAATTCGTTCCATCTTTCAACACAGACATTCACAACCTTCGGCCTTCTGTCAAAGGGTTCATCTCACTCATTATTCCATGACCACCATTTTGTGCAATCATCAAGTGGCTTCACGATTTAATGCTCTAATGTTTTTAAATAATTTTTAATCTGTTTTTAACTTGTTCTTGTCATATTTTATATAATTTTGACCATTGTACCATGTATCCAGCTCTCACCATGTTACTGGACGTTTCCCTCATCCTATACGTAAACAACAATTAGCAACATCCTCACATACTACTGTAAGTTGAGTCAATTTAAATTCATTTTACACTTTTGTTGCTACTGTTATCATTGTAATTGCAGCTCCTGATGATGATGGCAAAGTCCATTGAAAGCTAGAGAGAATTAAAAAAGTATAAAGAGTCCTCTTTGCTTAAATTTTGTCGAAGTACCCAACAAAAGGCGGAAGCTTTAATTTTTCACCTAACTGGTCTAGACGACAGTGACCACGTCTCAAGTTATATATATATATATACATATATATATCCTGTGCCATAGTTTCTCGTGATTTACAAAGCCTCTTGTAATTGGCTACTGGCAGAAACCAAACAGTTTTGAGACAGTTTCCTGTAAAACTCGAATAAGCTTAGTAGTAAAATATTTTTTTTTCCACTGAAACATTACCTAGTCCGTTGCTGAAATCAGGAGATTCATATCCAACTCTGTCATACCCGATTTCCACAGGTTGTGCTCTTAGAGGCGGAAACACAATATTCAAAGTGTTTTCTGTCCACAACTCGAATTCTGGATCGTACCCTGAAAGTTTCAAGGTATCTAACAATTTCACAGCAAACTGAATACCTGAAACAGCTTCGCTTTATGTTAGCTATCCATTGTACATTATCTGTCAATATGACAAAGTTTTGAGGTAGTTATTTTATTTTTAAATTACTTCTTGTTACCTCTATCAGTTATACTACAAGGGTCAAGCCTTGCTTTTTATGGCTTATTTATTTGTTCATCAAATCTTATATATTTTTGTTACAATGTATGATACGATGTCTGTAAATTAAGTGACGAGACTATTTTTTTATCAAGTATAATCACAATTTGATATTGTCACCCTCAAAATTACTTCTTTCTGAATCCACACAGCGCTGGAGACTCCTAATAGCAGTGCTGAAGCTCCGATACTGGAATAGCCTTCAGATGTTCGGTTACAGCCGTTTGAATGTTTTCGACTATAACAAAATGAGTTTCCCTGAAGTGATTTTTCAATTTCGGGAAAAAGTCACAGGGACTTAAGTCAGGCGAAAAAGGGGGCTGAGGAGGAATGCTTTTACTGGCAGAAAACTCGTTTATTGATATTTGTTTTTGACTTGTTTAAGGGTGATTTGAGTCAAATTTAACTGTACCCCAATCATTCCGTCTCTCAACCGACGATCTGAACACACAAGGTTCCGGATTTTGCCGATACTTTCATCGGTTCTTGACGGTAGAGGCCTTCTGCTTCGTGGGTCATCTTCAATCGACTCTCTTCCTTTTGAAAATGCCTTAAACCACCGAAAAACCTTGGCTTTTGACAAAACACTATCCACGTAAGCCTGCTAAAGCTTAGCAAGAGTTTCCGTTGCACTGTGCCCAAGTCTGAAGTAAAACCTGATAGCACACCGTAGCTCGAAATTGATTTTTAGAACACAATAGGAAAAACTATTCCACGACAAGCAACACTAAGGCCCGTATCGTCAGTCGTTCCTACAACTGTAGGGCACCTTTATGGCCTCCTTGATTGTCATAGTTTTCTACTTCTCCGTGTCAGCGCTCTATTTTGAGGTTATGTCAGAAACATCTATTTGCATCAAATTGTGCTTGCTTTTGAGTTATATCATGTTTTATCAGCCTGAAATTTCCTACAATTTAAAAAGAAAACATATCTTCACAATAGGAGAGCGCTGACGCTGTCACGGGACAAGTGTAATCTAGAAATTTTTGAAGGAGAGAAGGGAGTATGACAATCAAGGAGGCCATAAACACGCCCTACAATTGTAGGGACGACTGACGATACGGGCCTAAGGACAACCAAATGACTCTAGCGAGTTCAAACTTGTAATGAAGGAATATGTTCTCCTGTCTCCCCTCCAAGCCCGGTGCTTCCCATGTTGCCAGATTGAACGCTACGTTGCCAGTCTCATCGCTTAATTTACAGACCTCGCATGTTTTAAATAATGATGAAACAGTTTACGGGTTGTTAACTTCCTTTGTACCAATTTTTGTCAGATAGCCATATTACCTAAACTCAAATCGTAAACATCAAAGCTTCTTGTATCCCTTCTATTGCTTGATGGATGCTGATTCTTTTTCGCTACCCTGTTCTGTTGCCTTACCGGTGAAGATATCGAAAAGTTTGTGAGCGTCATTAGCATTGAGAAGAACATCACATGTTGAGGTCCCTGAAAATAAAAAAAAACTTTAGGAGAAAACACAATAGTAGAAATCTGCTTACAGCCCTGTAACTTTGGAAGGTGCGGGGCGGGGATTTTTAAGGAGCGACAATTCAGTAAATTTACTGACAGCCATCTAACTTTGAAGGGTGAAGGAACTTTCAAAACTATATTCTGTGTGAAGTTGGAAATGTGTTGTAGGGAATCCGTGAACAAACTTTCTGGGAGCCCCTTTCCGTCTCCATTGTCTGAGCGAATGAAACCACAAAGTTCTTTCTGTCTATTATACAAGGTGTTTCAGAACTATGGGATCAAACTTCTAGGGGTTATTCAGTGTAACAATAGAAACCATTTGAGTATAGGGACCCATATCTGGAAAAGTGTCACTACGGCACTACGGCCCTAAGACGCGTTAAAATTTAGAAAGGCGATGAATTGCCTAAATAAGATTTAATATATTTAATTTTGCCTTTTGTACATGAGATCATCACAACAATTGTTCAAAATGTCTTCCTCCAACCTGAATACACCGTTCCTGTGAGGACATGTACGGTCTTTGGTTTACGAAACTCCAGTAGAAACAGGGCAAGACTTAATTGGACCAGTTACAGTAGCATTTGAAATCATCAAATTTTTGCTTTGCAAAAACTACCTAACTGTTTTCTCTTATTTTGACGGCATAAGATATTTTTATGACCCTTGTTCAATTGTTACCATCTACCACACGACCCTAAACATAATTGTGTTCATTGACATGAATAAACGAATTAGAATTTGAGTTCTTGAATTTATTTTAGGAAAGATATAAAATTATTTGAATACATTTTTTCTTAGTCGGAACGCACCGTCTCCGCGCTTGGACTGGCAGGACGAAACAGTCGATGAATTTCGCCCAAAAACCGATTTGCACTTCACAGCTTACTTTTTATTATTTCCAAATGAAACTCTTGCAGCGTGCTAAAAACAAAGTCCACAGGGTGCCAGCGATCCACTTTTTCGATTTTATCCACTAGGATCTTTTTAGAATATCAAGAAGTTGAGCACAAATAGTGAGCATTTCAACCCACCATAATTCTTGCGCAAAGACAAAATTTTGTAAAAAGCTCTGATAGCACTCTAGGCAATTATGGCCTGCTTATATCCAGAAAAACGTCACAAACTGCAGAACACAAAAGGTAACGGCGAAATGGGTACATTTCACGGGTTATGAAATTCAAATGAAAATGCAGGTATAAAATCTACCAAATGATCGTTCTCAAAAACATATTTCCTTGACATATCGATAATTTTAAAGTTCCACGCTAAATTCAACTATACTTGAGTGGAGTGATATCTGAATTTATTCTTCCCTACTGTCGGTAGTTGTAGATCTGTTGGCTGTTGGTGTCAAACCTATAGAGCAGGTACCGATTTTTTGAAACCGTGAGCACTTTATTCGTCGGATTTTCGATACTTAAATTTCCTGTAATCACTTGGATCAGAAGCTTCTTAGTAATAGAACGTGTTTCACTGCTTTCAACCCCCCCCCCTTTTTAAGCAGTACAATTTTTTTATGTCAATGATTAGGAACCCCTGAAACGTCAAAAACGGAGTTTCAGCAATTGTTACTTTTTCTTTTTTGCCTAAAGCACCGTTGCCACTGGACTAAAACTACAAAGCTTTGGCATACTAGTAACCGCGTGTGGAAATTTCATAAAAATCCGAGCGGTAATTTCCAAGTTGATGATGAGTGATACAGTTTTTCGTGATGTAGATGTCATATCACATAAAAAGCATAACATCTCATTTTATAAATTTTTCGCGATTACAATACTTCCTCGCCAATGACGTGGGAAGTAAAAATATTGCAAAATGGAGTGTCAGTTTTGAAGCAGCTGAACCCTTGTAAATGGCTTGAAACTCACTGCGTCGGAGCCGCCTTAAAATACAAAATACGGTTTATCGGTTGTGAAAATAAATACCACTGAAGACCTTTAGACAAATAAAAATATAATTTATATCAAGTATGTAGTTTGATAATATCCTCAATCCCAGTAAAACAATAAAAACAATCAAGTCAAGTGTTAACGTTTCAAGTAATTTCATTTTCAAGTCAAAAATATCAAGGCACTTGACTTGATGAATGCCTAGTCGAAACGTTGTACGATAAGCCGAAATTTAAACATACAAAGAAAACAAAATTTGTTTGACGGCTTGAGTTCAATGTGTATGAGAGACAAGTGTGTATCAACACATATTAGAAAAAGATAGAAACCGGCTGAACAACAAAGGTCATCACCACATTGCCAAGCAACGGTTGTGCAGTCTGCCGCGTTGCCAATATGTTACACCATAAAATGTTCGCGCAGGCTGTTCCAATAGGTTAGGTTACTGTCAAATCCAAGAAGGAGGTCTATTCAAACATTTAGTTTAATCCCTTGTTTTCATTTTGATTAGAATTATTTATCTCAATTTTGTTGCGACTTGGTGTTTTAAGTTATTTTAGAACTATCTTTGATTTCCACCAATGATGATAAAATCTATTATTTTGTCGTAAAGAATAAACTAACGCATATTTTCAATATGCATCTTAAATCAACGAACTGGTGTAACATATTCCAGGCGGCTTCTATCTCTTTCTAACATACAGGGTGGCGCATCGAAAACGAAACAGACGCATTTACTGGCAGCTCGGTTTTTTTTTGAAAAACGCTCAGACCCGTCGATTTTGTTTTCGAGGGGGACATAAGTTTGTCAAAAAATCACGTAAGCACGTGCAGTCCCCTAAGCGGGGGTGACACCACCCCCAAAATCTTAAATGGAAAGGGGGGTCGAGTGATACCTTATTTTAAAGGTCTTTCAATTCCCTTTATAATGATGTAAAACACATGAGCTTTAGTTCAGTAGTTTTGAAGATTTATTGATTTAAAGCTTAGAGTAGACTTTAATATTTACATCAAATTAGTTTGAACTACTTTCAGAAGAAATTTGACTAAAATAATTTACTTAATAAGTAAATGCTTTTCTTCACTACGCCCATGGTTTGTTTATCATTTTGTTGTTGAAAATAGCTATTGGAGCGTTTTTTTGTGGCAAAAATGTTATTTCTTGAAGGAAGATAAGGAAATATCTCGTACTTATTTTTAATAGGAATTTAGTACATAGTTTGTGATTGATTCGACCAAACTTTGTTGCTAAAATAACTTGTAACGCTTTATTACATAAATTAACCATGGTATATTCAACAGCAGAAAGAGTTAAAATTATCGAAATATTGTAAATATGTTCTAGAACTTGTAGCTAAAGTTCTGGAAACTGGGTTAGTCGCCAATAAGAAACGCAACATTGAAAATCCCATAAGGAACGAAGCAATAGAAGTAGGGGTTTTAGGGCAAGATTATGTAGATCCTACATTAAGTAACCGCAAATTGGAGACTGTGTGTGGTATTAGTCGACGTACTGTCCAACGGGTTCTAAAAGCCCATAGTTTTCATCCGTATAAAATTCATCTGGTACAAGAACTTAATGAAGACGGCGGTTACAATTTTGTAAAGATATGAGTGATCGAATTAAAAACGATGAACATTTTCTATTCAACACTTTTCCGACGAATGTTCCTTTTTCTTAAATGGAGTAGTAAATCGTCATAACTGCCATATTGGTCCCGATTCTAATCCCAGAATTTATCATGAGGTTCATACACAGCAACCACAAAAATTAAATGTTTGGGCTGGTATTTTTGGCGATCATTTAGTTGGTCCTTTTTTCTTACCTGGAAATTTGACCGGTGAAATGTATTTGGAATTACTGGAAGACGCCATAGATCCTGCATTAACAGCCATAATTGAAAATCAGAATGATCGGCGGTACATTGCGAATAGGTTCATGTTCCAACAGGATGGTGCCCCACCACATTACGCATTACGTGTTCGACAATATTTAGATCAGACGTTTGTTTCTAGATCAATGGATTGGTAGAAGAGGTGCCATTGAATGGCTCTCAAGATCGCCAGATTTATCACCTTTGGATTTCTTTATGTGGTGTCATTTAACACATTGACTGCGAACTGGGATGAGGATACCCACATCAGAAACTGAAATACTTTTTTCCTTTTTTTGGAAGCCGGCAGAGAGCGTCGAAAGACGCCGTTCGCCTCCCACCACAGGAGCGGAGGGCGTCTTTTGACGCTGTTCGCACTGAACGTGTTAAAGGGCAAAATATGTGCTACTCAGCCAACATCATTAGAAGACCTACGACAAGGAATTGTGAATCAGTGCCTTCAAATTACTCCTCAAATACTGCAAATGTGCGGCAACGTTTTGACCAATATCTTTATTATTGCATGGAGAGTCATCGTGGCCATTTTCAACATTCTTCATTTTTAAATTACTTTGCTGCCAAATGCATTGATCTCCATTATTAATATTATTATTAGTTTTATTTAAGCTTTAAATCAATAAATCTTCAAAACTACTGAACTGAAGTACATTAATTTTATATCATTATAAAGGAATTGAAAGATTTTTAAAATAAGGTATCTCTCGACCCCCCTTTCCATTTAAGATTTTGGGGGTGGTGTCACCCCCGCTTAGGGGGCTGCACGTGTTAACTTGATTTTTTGCCAAGCTTGTGTCCCCGTCGAAAACAAAATCGACGAGTCTGAGCGTTTTTCAAAAAAAAAAAAATGAGCTGCCAGTAAATGCGTCCGTTTCCTTTTCGATGTGCCACACTGTATGTATCTATAGACGCTTCTCTCTCGTGCACATTGAAACCTAGCCTTCAGACAATTTGGTTTTCAGTGTATATGTGGTCCTGTGAACATAAAAACCAGGAGTTACATTAACTTCCCCGATGTTGCCATTGCAGAGCAAAAAATGTCTACTCTGTTTTGCCCTACGATAGCAATAGCAATACCGATGTTCAAAAAACATCTGTTAGGGAAGCTTCAGCTGAAACTAATGATTGTGACCCAGTCATTACTCATTATAGCTGATGTTATTTTTAAGCACCAGCAAAAAATGACAATTATT